ATTTTGGAACTATAGATATGGCGCAAAAGTAAAATGGAGTTTCCTTATTCTTATCCAACCTCCCCTAAGGTAAATATCTTATCTGGTACAATTATTGAAACCAGGAAATATTGATATAATACTATTAACATAGACCTAATTTAAATTCAAGAATCATGGATGCCTTTTATAGTCCCAGTTCCAATCCAGGATCCTATATTGTATTAAGTTGTTATGGCTCCTTTGTCTGCTTCAATCTGTGACAGTTCCCCAGTCCTTGTTTTTCATGATTATGACACTTTTAAGAGTACTGGTTTTTTGTAAATTGGTTTGAGATATTCTTTAGATTAGATTCAGGGTATGCATTTTTGGCAAGAATACTAAGGAAGTGAGGTACTCTTCTTGGTGTATAATGTTGGGGTACACATGTTGCCAAAATGTCTTATTACTAGTGATCTTTGAATAGTTGGTTAGTGGTACCTTTCAGGTATCTCCCTCACCATAACTTTCATCCACTAACTCTACCATCTATCAGTGGTTCTTGCTACAATTGTTACTGGGTGTTTGCCTAGTGATGACTTTGTTTCCATCATTCCTTCCACATTTATCAATTGAAACAATCCCTTCTCCCCCTTTTTTCAATTATTTATTAAATTATATCCTTAATTAAGTATGGGCCTGTGGATTTATTTTGTTTTATGGGTTATTTACCCATTACCATATAATGTTACCAATTATTTAACAGAGATACAAACAGTACCATTAAGTACTTACAAGTGCCTTCAAATGTAAGGTCCCCACATCTAACGTATGGCTTATCTTCACTTGTAAGAGGAAATGAAATTAAAATTTCCTTAATTTTGTAACTTAGATCAGGGTTAAGATTTACATATTATTTGCACAATTCAGTTGCCAAAAGCTTTGTGTGTATTTACAAGCACACACACACCCTCCCCCCATTAAAGGGCTTAGAGAGAGTAGAATATGGAGCTGGCACAAGGTCAGCCACTGAGCAAGCAGGGCATCCTCCTGCTCAGTCAGGCTATGTGTAAAATATATACATCGAATACAGTTTAGTAAAGTCAAATGATCAACTACAGTTAGGTGAAACCAGGGGGGAAATTCCTTTAACCTTTTTGCATATATTAATAGTGATACCATGTTGAAGATACCTACTTTATTCTTCCCAGGTTTGAACTCAATAAAAGGAAACTGTCACAATTTTTGTACTGCTGTTTTTAAAGATGTCACTTACAAGGAACTAAAAAACCTCTTGAATTCCAAAAAAATTATGTTAATTGATGTTAGAGAGACATGGGAAATTCTTGCGGATGGAAAAATCCCCGGGTCTGTCAATATACCATGTAAGTGGCATGTATCTTAAACTGATTCATTACAAAAAATATTCAGCCAATTTACTGTAGATAACATTTAACTGATTCTTAACATTTTCTTTCAGTGGGTGAGGTAGGTGAAGCTCTACAGATGAACCCAGAAGACTTCAAAGAGAAGTATAATGGAGTAAAGCCATCCAAATCTGACAGTCTCGTGTTTTCTTGTTCAGCTGGAGTGAGAAGCAAGAAGGCTCTGGACACAGCAATGTCTCTGGGCTTTAACAGGTACATCCATGAAGGAGTAAAATGGATTGAAAATGTATATTGTAATGTTTCATATGCATTACATTTTTATTGGTCTACTGAATTTCTTACACTGTTTGTTAGTAATGGCAGTACAGCAAGAGTAAGAGACTGTCTTTTCATAGTATTCAAAGTAACACAATCTTTTATTTTTTTAATATTTTTATTGATTTTTTAGAGGGAGAGAGAAACATCAATGTGAGAAACATCAATTGGCTGCCTCCTACACACCCCACACTGGGGATCAAGCCCACAACCTGGGCATGTGCCCTGCCCGGGAATTGAACCAGGACCTCTCAGTCCATGGGACAAAGCTCAATCCACTGAGCCACACCAGCCAGGCAACACAATCTTTTAAACAGGTTTCAAGTCTAAATAGTATGGTGAGGAGCCACTGCATCTTTAAATCTCTAAAGTTCTTATCTCTGAAATTTCTATTAACCTTGTGTTATGCAGCAGCAGAAAATGTTTACACTACTACTTGATGTGTGTTTTCAGTGCTCAAAACTATGCTGGAGGATGGAAGGAATGGGCAACCTACGAACATTCTGAGAAGAAATAAGGAAACTGAATTTTGGAATACAAACTGGCTCTTTCCTTGTGTACATGCAGCCTAGTATAGTGGAATAAGCAAAAGAAGAATAAAAATCTAGCTCTGGCACCACTACCAAATAGGAAGCGGATTTTTGTATAAGTTTATTATTTTTTAAATCTTTTTCTCAATTGTAAATTAAAATATACCATTTCCCGCCCTGGGTGGGTGGCTCAGTTGAGTAGTGCATTGTCCGATATGCCAAGGTTGTGGGTTCCATCAACAGTCAGGGCACATACAAGAATCAACCAATAAATGCATAAATAAGTAGAACAGCAAATTGATGTTTTGCTCTACAAAAAAAATAGAGAGAATACCACTTCCCCCCGCCTGCATGCAAAGGTTATTGAGGATAGAGATACTATGACTTGCCATGGAAATATAAGGATTGGATTCCAGGAACTAATTTTTATTTTATTTTTAAATATGTTTTTATGTTTTTAGAGAGAGAGGAAGGGAGAGATAGAAACATCAATGTGAGAGAGAAACATGGACCCGCTGCCTCCTGCACGTCCCCTACTAGGGATCGAGCGCACAACCTGGGCATGTGCCCTGACCGGAAATCGAACCAGGACCTCTCAGTCTATGGGACGATGCTCAATCCACTGAGCCTCACCATCTGGGCCAGGAATTAATTTTTAAATAGTTTAGTAGAGTTCAACAGTATTCCAAAAGACCAAGTTCCAATACTACTTGTATGTCCTAATCATGTGTATTTGTGTTAGTATACCTTCTATTCATCAGAGGCTATGAGTTAGACACAGACTTGACCTTAAATCACCAAAAATCTGTGATCCTTGTAAGTAGGTGAAATAATAAATAAAGAAAATACATTAACAGCATCCAAAGACTTATGGCAGTGTTGTGACCAGCATGATAGTGATATGATTTTCAATGTAAAAATAGAAATCAAAATAAGAACAGTGGTTGCTTCTGCTGAGGAAAGGAGATTAACTAAAAAGGCAGGCAAGGAGGGAAATTTCTAGGGTGATAGAAATGCCTTGTATCTTGATATGTTGGTACATACATTATCAAACCTCACTGGAGTGGACACTTAAAAATATACATTTTCTGTAACTGTATCAATTAAAATAATAAAAATAGGCGGGAAAAAAAAAGCATAACTACTAGCATGAGTATGCTGTACACTGGTGGTATAACAAAGTTGTGCTTCCTTCCATCTGTGCCTCTTCAGACGCGTAAGTCAATCATTATGATGTATCTACTCTTCCAACCCAAGCTCAATCTTAACTCCTTCAGACCCAAGGAAAGCTATTTTTTCTTATTTCTTTTCCTGCTCGGAAGATCTATATTTGTCATTGGTATTGACTTTATACAGAATTTCCCTTTCCAGATTCTCTCCTATTCTCCAAAAGGAAGCAGAATTCTGCTTTTAAACCTTTTGAAATTATCCACTTTACCAACTATAGAAGACTTAAGTACTTGTCTATAGGAAGAAGGACTCTCAGAAAACAACATAAGGCAGATTCAAAAAGATAAATATTCAAGACACTGGTCAATATAGCTGGAGAATGTACTTTTATTCTTGCAGTTTTATACTAGGAAATCAACATTTAATTTCATAATTCATGGTTCACAATTGACTTATAAAAAATTTTTAATCGTACATCAATATCCTATGACTCCAAATTTTATTTATCACTCTCCTTCAAGTCTGAAGAAAATGATTAATTTATTAAGTTCCACAGACAGCACAGTCCCACTGACATAACATTTAGTCAAGTCCTACGCTCACGTGAGAATTAAGAGTAGCCAGTATCAAACTGGCCTGAAACCTGATTGTGTTCCTGGCTCAGGGTACCTGTCATAAATCTGTAATCCACACTAAGACACAAAAATAAACTAGAGTGTGTATGTCATATAAGAAGCTTTTCACAGTAGAGTAAAAATTAACATTAAAATGTTATCAAATTTCAACCATATTATATTTTATCCAATTAGCTTTTTAGATGCCTGATTTAACTGTGAATCAAATGCAAATAACTTCATGTAGGTTTTTTTTTTTTAAAGTTTGCCCAGCATTTCAAAATGGTTACAGAATTAATATAACTTTTAAAATGTCAAAGTATGCTATACATATTGCACTTTTCTGCTAGGCTGGGCTGGTATTTTCCATGCAAGATACTAAAACTACTGAATAAAATACGCTTTAAAATCAATAGGTACTTGATTAAATTTCCCTGAAATGATCAACATCATTACCAAAATCTTCCAGGATTTTGTAAGATTTGATTCCTTAAATACAGCTTTAAAGTTTAACTTAAGGAGGGGAAAATACCCTCATATATTTCACTTTTATGTCCTTTTTTGGTCCTTCAATGACCAAAGAGAATTTTAAACAAATTATGGTTCATGTTTCCTGGCTTAATAAAAAACTACAATTGCTATTATCCAAATTAAGAAAAATTATTAAGCAAAAGCTATTAATTTTGAAATGTCTGTCTATAGGTCCCCTTAGAAACTTTCCAAACTTCTGTAATCAAGAGACTTTCATCAACTATGTATTAGAATCAAATTAGGTAAGGAAAAACTTATTTTTCAAAAATAAAATCACTTCCCAATGCTTGACAGAAACAAGCTATTCATGTTCATTTGTGTTCCATTGAAGACATTACTGAAATCTGTCCAATGGTTTATTTCCAACTGGTCCACTATGGAATTCTTCGGAATGTTTTAAGATTGGCTGTAGCTAGAATTCTGACTTCCATTTGGACCCTGCTCTCCTTCACTGTTCAAGTGGGGAAGAAAGAGATTTTATACCAATTAAAAGATTCATTTTCAACACCCTGGTAAGCCTATTAATTTTTAAAGTTAGTTATTCTATAGTACAAACTTACAAAACAAAGACATTCCCAACTGTAAGACACAGATGTGGAAAAATTAAAATCCAGAAGACTAACATTTGGTTTTATATTTTTATTCTTATGTAACTTAGTGCCCTCACACATAACAAGCATTCTGGAAGTTAGTGTCCATATACAATCAAAAACTTAAATTAGGGTATGGGATTTCATTGTCATTACAGGTATCACTCAACATATAGATTAGAGCTTCTGAACAAATTTCCTATAAAATTAAATCTTACATATAAAATCTTATTCCTACTAACCAACTATGAAAATCAAGAAGTATTCTTCCAAAAAAATTACTGTCCAAAGGCATACTAAAATCATATGTAAATACAGCAAACCTTTATAAATCAGAAATATGGTAATTTCCTGGAAAATGTTGAATATTTAAAATAAAAATAACTAAAACTGAGAATACCAGTATCTGTGGCAATAGGATTATTGCCTTATCTTGTCCATCATCATCTTGCAGCTTCAGGCCCTGCCACTAGTGGAGAATCACTCAGGGAATTTCTGCAAAAAATGCATCCAAAGGTAGCTGTTTGAATGACTGCCTTAAAACAGCTCCTTGTATAAGTCAAGTATTTATTTTTTTCCCAACAGTGACATTAACTTATCAGACCTACAAATCTATCTCAATGTTTTATAACTTAAGTTTAAGTTAGTTAAGATGGGCAATATTTCTTTATTTTCCATCTGACCTTGCTTCCTTACCCCAAACGATCTGATGTACAGTGAAAGCTAAGAGCCACTAAACCAAATGAACAGATCCTAATAAAACAACAACAAAACCCCCCTTGGCACAACTGATTCATATTTAGCAAAATTACATTACTGGGTGCCATTTGGGTAACTCAAAAGCTAAAATTCTTTATCTTTATAATATCAGATAAATAATCTAATTTATAAAACAGGATAATAGCCAGTATTGGGGGAGAGTGGGGGGAGACAGCACAGAATCAAACTGACATGGGAATACTACAGAACTCTTTATCTCTGAATTTCTAATAAATTGGCCTAATTCTGTCCTGTTTAAACGTATGTATAATATATACCCATATGTTGAGGGATACCTGTAATAGACCTGCCAATCCATGAGGTAAAAACAAATGATCCAATTAATATTTTTAAATGAGACATTCTCAATCTATGAAGTCAGAAATTAAAAAAATTAATATGTATTATAAAGTTTTGGAATAAATTTTAAGGAAAAAAACACATTGTAATCTATGAAAAAAATGTGATAATGAGTATAAAATATATAATTAAATGGAATGTATAATTAAAGTCTACAAAGTACCTGTTTGGAGGAGGTTTTGGTTTTGGCATCTTACTAAGAATAGTTGCCATCTCTTTTCTCTCATCAAAATTCTTCCACTGTTCGTATAGTTTTAATATAACCCTGATTATTTCCAAAATCTAGAAGAAAATATTTGAAAAGTTCTCAGTGGCATTATCAAGCATTTAGTATATAAAGAATATACATCACTTACTAGGCATCCATCAGAAAACAGTGAAAAGACAGAGTCTCTCTCAAGTATTTATGCTAGACAATTCTGATAAACATGAGAGCAGTATTTGTATCACACAGCTATTTAGGCTTTTCCTTCTAGCCTCTCATCTATTAACATGGATGCCCTGTCCATCCTTATTCATCTCTCCTCAGTTGGTTTCCTTCTACCTGCTGATATCTAAACCAAAATAAAATAGTGAGGTACTAGGAAGAGGTCTAAATCATGAAATTTACCACTATACAGTGCTTTTCTAATACTAATTGTTTCAAGCAATTTAGTGGGAGGTAGTGCACAAAAGACATTATTTTTATTCTGTTAACTACTGTAAATGAGTTAAGGTGCTAAAAAATTAACAGCTACAAATCTGTCATATCCAGTTTCCAAATAAGCTCTTTCTTCCTTACCTGAGTAGACTTAACTTTGGGTAATTTTAATGCCATCAACAACATTTCAGCAGGGAAGATAAATAAAAGGGCAAAAAAAAAAACCCTGCTTTGCCAGGAGATAGGCTGTGCTCCAGAAGTTTATAATAGTTTTTAGTGGTCACTAGGTAGCTTTTAAAATAACCCAGGAAATTAGAGGCTGCTCTTCAAATAACCAAACTAAAAGTTGACCACTTTGTTTAAGGTTAAACCAAAAAGGGAAAGAGAACCTTTGTCAACATCAACTCTTTTTGCCAAACATGTTTCTTCATTTTTTTAAACCAAACATTTTTTTACCCTGGTAGACTTCGTAAGACTTTAGGCTCATGATAAGTAAATATTTAAAGTTAATGAACTTTAAAATGTTCAAGTTTATATTACACTAAGGGAATTTTAAAGAATACCTTCTCCATATCCACAGAAAGCTCAGCAAACCACTGTCTGGCATCTTTCTGCTGTACAACACAGGCTACATGTAGACAAGCTGGAAAGAAAATGAGACAAAAGCCCACATTTAACTACGAACATGTAATGTGTGGACTCAGAACTAAAGATAAAATTTTCACGTATATTTTCCAACATTCTTTTTAAAGATTGCATAGGTTCATATAATAGTTACCACTGACCATTAAATTGACCATCAGTTTAATCTGACAGAGATAGAAAAAATTACTAGACCATCTTAAGGTTCTTGACATCTCCAGCTCCTCACTGTGTGCTAGGCATGGTGCAGTTGCCTTGAGAGTCAGGGCATGTTAAAGAGGGAAAAAATCCAATGAGGATATTTAGAGCAGGGAAATGATCTCTGAAAAGTAACACAAAGTCGTGGTCAAAATATAATCAGAAGTCAGTGTGATGAAAAAAAACAAAAACAGAATAAAACCCCCTGGTCAGGTGGCTCAGTTAGTTGGAGCATTGCTCTGTACACAAAAAGGTGGTGGGTTTGATTCTGGTCAAGGCACGTACCTAGGTTGAGGGTTCAATCCTGGTCGGGGTACAAATGGGAGGCAACCAACAGATGTTTCTCTTTCACATCAATGTCTCTTTTCTCTCTAAAATCAATAAACATCCTTGGGTGAGGATATAAATAAATAAATAAATATAAAACAAAAACCCCAGCCCTGCTGGTGTGGCTCAGTGGTTGAGTATCCACTCATGCACTGGTTCGATTCCCGGTCAGGGCACATGCCCACATTGTGGGCCTGATCCCCAGTGGGGGGCATGCGGGAGGCAGCCAATCGATGTTCTCTCTCATCGATGTTTCTATCTCTCTCTCCAATCAATGAAGAAAAAAAATTAAAAAAAAAAAAAAACCCAAAAAACAAAAAACTCCAGCCAAACAATACACTAATAAATTTCAAGAATATTGACTATGTTTTGATATTTCAACTAAAAGTAGTGTTTGTTGCCTCTGCTTTTTTTTTTAATCCTCACCCAAGGATATGTTTATTAGTTTTAGGAAGGGGTGTGAATGGGGGGAGAGAGAAAAACATCAATCAGTTGCCTCCCATATGCACCCCGACCAGAGATCAAACCTGCAACCTAGGTATGTACCCTGACCGGAAATTGAATCCTGTACTGCAGGACGGTCCAACCAACTGAGCAACCAATCTAGGGCTGCTTTTTAAAGTTATTAGTATATCAAATTAGGTGAAAACTGGACACATTAGCACAGAATTGAATGTTGTAATAAAATAGAGCTTAGAAAAAATACATAATACACTGTATATAATTATATACATTATATACAACTAACAAAGACAATAAAAAATGCTCAAAGACAAGTTACATCATAATTTTGCCCAATATAATTCCTACTGAATAACTTGGCTACTCTGATCCTACCCCAGCTTGTTCAGAGTTATTTTCCCTGCTGTGGTCACACATACGACTTTGCTAAGGATGACATCATAGGCAAACAGTAACTCAAATGTGAACTGATGCTGTGGTTGTCCCAAGTCAAATGAAGCTATAAAGTAGGACTTAGATCCAGGAGGGATTAAGAGGCTAAAAGACTAAAATTATAACAATAGGTAATTAAAACACAATAGAAAACACCACAATTAGGGTAGCGTATATGTAGAGTCATTATATCATGCATGAGATGATGTAGGGAGTTTTAATGGGGGGACAGTATAGATAAAAAGGTGAAATCTGAGCAAAATCTTAAAAAAAAAAAAGGTGAGCCCGTCCGGTGTGACTTGGTTGAGCACTGTCCCGTGCACCAAGAGGTCACCGGTTCAATTCCTGGTCAGGGTACATGCTGGGGTTGGAGCTACATCCCCAGTAGGGAGCATGCAGGAGGCAGCAGATTGATGTTTCTCTCTCATCAATGTTCTATCTCTCCCTCTCCCTTCCTCTCTCTCTGAAATCAATAACATGTTTTTTTTTTAAGTGAGAGTGGGAGCAGAGAATGACATGTATATAAATGGTAAAAAGAAGCTGTGGACTTTATCCAAAAATTGGGGGAAGCACTTAAAGGTTTTAATTGGGCACAAATTCTGCATCATTTTCTCCACCTTGGCACTGTTGACACTGTGGGCTGGACAACTGTCTGAGACTGGCTTGTGCACTACAGGATACTTAGCAGCATCCCACTGCAGCTGTGGCAACCAAAACCATTGCCAAATATCCCCCAAGGAACAGAATTATCTCTGGTTGAAAACCAGTAATCTAGCTCAAGTGTGGAGGGCAGTGACTTGACTCTCTGAGAACAGGGATGCTGGAGGCCAACTGATAGGAAGTAGACTACTGTGGTAACCCAAATAGAAACGAGATCATAGCTATGAGATTATTAAAGAAAGGTATTAGTTACCAAGTAGGTGGACGTACTGAGGGAAATGAAAGAGTCTGCTGTGTTTCCAACTAAAGTAACTATCTAGTGGTATTCACCAAGCTAGCAGACATTCAAAGGAGCACATCTGGGGCAAAGTAGTGAGTTCAGTCCTGTTCATGAGTCTGAGATGCCAAGTGAAGCTATCTGTAAGGCAGGATCTAAAGAACTGCTCAGGAGCAAGATCTTGGTTAAATGAAGAAATGTAAATGTTCCAGAACCGAAGAAATAGACGCCACAGGCCTCAGTGGGGCACCCAGGAAGAATAAAGACAGAAGGAATGGCAAAGATGTGCCACGTGGCCTGCTACTCCTTCCTTCCTATCTACGCAGATCCCAGCATTCCTTCTCTCTGAACCCACATGCCACTTTAGAATTCTTCCGAATACAGTGTTTCCAGGGAGTCTCCAGTACTACTAAAATATAAGTATAACCTATGTGTCACCTGATGCAAGAAGGATAAGAAATATTAACATTTAAGGAATAAAAGAAAAAAAAGAATACAGTAAAGAATTTGAGGAAGGAATCAAGATGATAGAATCATGGATATCAATAGAAAAAAAAAACAACAAAACAAAAATGGGAACAAAAAGTACTAAGTGCCTAATATATGGCAGACAATATTTGGTGCTCTATAAGGTGTATCATTTAATTCTTACAACAAGTCTGTATGGAGATGTTAGTATCCCCCACATTTTACAATTTAGGAAATAAACTCAAAAGTTAGATAATTTCCCCATAATTATAAAGGAAGCAAAATTTAAACCTAGGATCATCTGACTCCAAAGACTATGTTCTAACCCATTATAGTACTGCCTTCCACAGATAATAGCATAGTAGCTGACTTTCCCCCCCCAAAGGCATTAAGGATCACAGAAGCTTCTTGACTCAACCTCTGAGGACTTTATTCTGAACTTTTCCCTCTAAACAAACACTAGTTAAAATTATTTTAAATGATTTTTAAAAACTTACCAAAAGGGGGGATTTAGGGGGACAATAATCCAGATGTGACAGTTGCAGTTCATATTATTGAAAGCTCACATGCAAGGATTAATCTATTACTTCATGAAACATAAAAACATAAAGTACAATAGGGTGACATTTCTTTTAGGATGACCTAAATAGGTTTTAATAATTTAACTAATAAACCACACTTACATACCTAAAGCTATCATGAAAGGAGGATACAGTAGGCAAAGATCCGTTCTGTAGGTATCATTCACTATCCTCCTATAGAAATGTAAATCATATTATTATTGAAAGCAGAACTACCTCAAATGATTGTACATTTCCCTCCAGAGAGGGCCATATTTCCCATCTTTGTATATATTATTTCTTTTTTATATTACTGAAGCACACACAGATATAAAGATGAAAACATCAAGGGAAAAAGATGGATACATGAATGATTCAATAAATAAGCATAATTTAATGAATAAAATTATAGCTAAATATATATTTTAAAATTTAAAACCTCATAATAAATTTTAAACAGATTTTTTCCTAATTTTTCAAAAATTAGAAAATCAGATAGGAAGCCAGAAATCATACAATAATTAATATGTACACTGAATACCACCAAAAAGTATTGATAATTTTAAAGATAAACTGACTTTTTAGGTAAACAGTCTGTTTTTCATAATAACCAAATTTTAATGGAAATATTCATCAAATAGATAACTTAAAGATCTTTATCATTTATCATTTGTATCAATATAATTATTAAAGTTCAACAAGTAAATATTTTGTTCAACATAAATATCTTGGGGAACCACTTTAATTACTTTAAAAATACTAAACTTAATATTTAGTTGTCAATCTTCCTAGCTAATAACATGTTACACTATGAATAACTTCTGTTCTAATTACCATGCAAGGGGAAGCAACATGTCTTCTTGGCCCATGTCCTGCACATACTGGAGCAAAGGTCTATAAGGATGATACACTATCAAGCAACAATCCTAGAAACAGTTTAAAAAATGTATATGTATAAAAACAGATTTATTACAACACAAAAACCTTATCATTACCCAACTGATTTGTTAATGTGTATTTCAAATGTATTTCTCTAACTCATGCTTGCTTCCCTCTTATTTTCTTAAGAAAGCAGTATGGCAGCCCTAAACTCTACTATAATAGTGAAGGCAGTGCTCTCTCTGGAATATACCTTGGAAAATCGGTTGGCAGTCAGTCAGCATCCATTCCCTTAGAGACTCAAAGTGTCACATCTGCAACACACTGAAACCTCTTATTAGCCTATAAATCCGTAATTCCCAACTGGAGGAGCAGAATTCTGCCAAAGACATAATCTATCTTTAAATAACACCACACATATACACAAATTGTGCAAATAATTAACAGTGGTTTAATGTCCCAACTGGTTTGCTTGTAATTCTTTTATTATAGTTACTATAGAACAGAAAAATATTCCCATCCTAAGTAGGATATACAAATTATTTTACAGGCTTCCAAGAGGATACAGGTGATGATGCTACTAGGTGCTATGATTTCACCATCATTATCACTTGTATGGTTTAAAATGTACCTCCCTACAAATCATTTCTTTAAATAATTTCTGACTTCACTAAATAAGTTTTACTATATTAATCATAGGGAAGAAATATACTTACCATTAGTTCTAAAAGGTAGAATTCACATTCTAATATCTGTTTAAAAAAGATTATAAATGTCAACATGAAACCAAATTAGATGAATCTACTTAGTCTAACAGCAATTTATAGGCACAGTAATTTATCACAAATTTTTACTAAAGTGTTTTTAAATCAGGAAAATGAACAGAGTAACATATTAGAATTAACATATGCAATAAAAATACTGCATATGTTAATATCACAGAATGCATGAAATTATGACTATAAAGCATTTTAATTCCTAAAAAAAAGCCAGCCTCATATAAGCACTTATTACTTATCTTTATTTAAAATAACCTGTATAAACTTCAGATTTTCCAATATAGTTTCCATTCACCAAATGCAAAACTGCACGTAAATGTTATTCTTATTATATTATAAATCAGTAGAAGGAAAGAATACAAAAAATGAAACCAAAATATACAAGTTAAATGGAATGAAGAAATCCCTTGCAAGGTGGAAAAGGGAACATGCCTATTAAAATGTCAATAGAGATTTATCTTCTCTCACAATGTAAAATTTGAAATATGGTTTTCATACTATTATTGCATTACAGTAGCTCCAATGCACATTAGTATCACCTGGAAGCTTTTAGAAACTATCGGTCCCCAGGCCTCAAGCCTGAAAATTTCCATTTAGTTGGTCTAGAGAGGTTCTGACATCGGTATTATTAGTTCCTCAACCACTGTTATGAAGTACTTTTTAAACATAGAAGTAATTTAGCATTCAGGTTTATATTATAGCATTTGAACCTACCATTTCTAGGAGACTATTCAATTTATTCTAATACAAAATGAAGCAAGTTTATATGTAACTTTGACAAATAGTTTTACTTTATACAATATACTTACATGGTTCATCCTGTAAGGAAATTCCTTTGGAAATGCATATGAAAATCTAGTTTTTACTGCAGAAAACAAAACAAAAAAAAACTTAAATTGAGAAAATGCAAAAGTGAATTAACCCCAAATTTCTTTAACACTGTGTAGAACATTAGAAATAGGGCTAAATAATTTTTAGTAGGGCACTGAAGATGCTTAGGGACCAGATTATTTTTATTTTCAGGTGAGGAGAATAAGTGGCAGCAAGCTCCAGACCCCCATCTATACTACATATGTTTAATATATTAAGGGTTCTGCAGCTTAAAAAATAAAGGTATTAGGAAAAAAAAAAAAATCACTAGCTTTTATCATCTCTAAAAATCTTTCCAGCTCTAGAATGGTATCTTCTTAAGCACCATTTCCATATAATTCCCACACAACTGGACAAAACACAGAAATATATGGTCATAGTTAAAGACAAAAAAAAAAAAAAAATAATAATGCTATAACCAAATATGAAAAGATACATTTTTTTCTAGGAATAACATCTTATCCAATAATCTTTAAAAAGTTTTTTTTCTTTATTGATATCACAGAGAGAGGGGAAGGGAGAGGGAAAGGGAGAGAGAAACATCGGTGAGAGAGAACATCGATTGGCTGCCCCTTGCATACCCCTCAATGGGGACTGGGCCCACAATCTGGGCATGTGCCCTGACTGGAATCAAACCAGTGACCTCTTGGTGCATGGGTATATGCTCAACGACTGACCCACACTGGCCAGGCTTATCCAATATTCTTAAGCAAAAACTTTCACTTGGTAATTTAGCTTAGAAGGAACCTGTTCACAAATATATATCCATATCTATATAAATTGGAAGGATAATACAACCAAAAAATGTTAACAGTGTTTATCTCTGAGATTTAAAGATTTTTACTAATCTGTACTTTCTAAACTTTTTATAAAAACAGGTATTTATTGAAAGATAAATTTTAATAAAAGCATGAATAAATGTGCAAAGGTTTCTAGGATTTTTTTCATATCACACATAAACACATACACACAGATACTACTCTTCTTAGTCACTAAGTACAAATGAGAAAACTATTAATTATCAATCCTCCATTTCCTCAAAATGATATGGGTACATTTAAATACCATTTGACATAATTGTATTCAAGTCTTACGATATATTTCATTCAATCCTGTAACTATGGATAGGTTCTAGAGGATCTGTTCTATGATCCACTCCATTTGTACAAAGCCAAGTGACCTCACAAAGATAAAAAGAAAAAAAGCAGAAAAAGAAAACAGAATTTATTTTATATATTGTATTTTCAAAAAGTTTTATTTTGTAAACTGAGTATCCTAACCGCTTTATTTTTTATTTTTTAAATTGATTTAGAGAGAGGAAGGGAGAGCAATAGAGAAAGAAACATCAATGGGTTGTCTCCCATACACCCCCCACCCCCAACCAGGGGTCAAATCCACAACCTAGGTATGTGCCCTGACTGGGAATCGAAGCCACCAGCTTTTGGTGTACAAGACGACACTCCAACCAAGTGACCCACACCTGCCAGGGCCTAGCCACTAATTTAGATACATAGTATCTGCCGAGATTCAAAACCTAAACTATTTAAACTTGACATTAGTATACTTATGTATACTTAATATTTCCTCTTCTCCCTTAGTGAATTTGAAAACATACCCATTAAGGTTTCTGAATTTCACAAATCCTTCTGATGTAAACAAGATGTGAAGTGTAACAAGTAAAACAGATACTTACATAATGCTAACCAATCAACAAGGTAACATGATCTCTATAAATAAAACAAATCTACACCCCTAACCCTGGACCATGACACTTAATTTACTGAGATTAAATTTACCTGATGTTATCAACTTCTCTCCTACTCTGTGATAAAAACTACTCTGCATGTTGATTTTCTATGCTCTTTTTTTTTTTTAATGTTTTTATTGATTTTTTTTTTTATTTTAAAGAAAGAGAGGAGAGAGAAACATCTATGAGAGATACATCAATCTGCTGCCTCCTGCATTCCTCCTACTGGGGATCGAGCCCGCAACCCGGGCATGTGCCCTGACAGGGAATTGAACTGGGACCTCTCAGTCAATGGGACGATGCTCGATCCACTGAGCCACACTGCAGGCTCATTTTCTATTTTATAATCCTTATCTTATAACTTTAAGGAAAATGAATCCCTCCTCTCTCTTGCTACCTGTACCACTTGTGCATTTGTTTTCATTTACTCAATTAATAGTTCCTACTTTTTTTTGCACTTTTAACCATTCCTCCTCCAATAAATCTGCCCCATCCCTTAATATGTTCAACTTTTCCTTAAAAACAAAAACATTACTTTTATGTGTCATGCCGCCTTAGATTCCACTCAGCCATAACAATTTTTCAGACTTTCCTTGTTTTTGATGACTTGGACAGTTTTTAGGAGTAATGGTCAAGTATTTTGTAGGTTCACCTTCTACTGGAATCTGTCTGATGTTTATCTAATGGTTAGACTGGGGTTTTGGGTTTTATGAAGGAAGACCACAGGATTATGTGCCATTTCTCCAGAATACATCAAAGGTAGACATATTAATGTGATTTTTCACTACTGATATTGACTTTGATCACCTGGCTGAGGCAGTGCTTGTCAGGTTTCTCCACTGTAAAGTTCTCTGCCCCTCACACTTTTCATAATGTTATATTAGAAGGAGGTCACTATGCACAGCCAATACCTAAGGAATGGAAATTTATGCTTCCCATACCTAAGGGTGGACTTAGCAACATAAAGTATTGAAATTCTTCTACATGGAGATTTTCTCTTCTCCTCTAATTATTTATTTGAACATTGATTTATACAGTATGGACTCATAAATATTCTGGTCTCCTCTCCTTGCTTATTTGTAAATTCCCATTCCAGCACTGAGAAAACTGGCTCTTAACATCTGCCATCTCTTTACCATGAATATATCTATTTAGTGGAATTGTTCAACTTCACCATACATTTGTAACAATATCAAAATCGTTAACTTGTACCACTGTACAAGTTAGAGTGCTTATGTACACTTTCTTTTGCCTTTAGTCTTACAGACTAACTCATTTTCAAAGTTACTTAGGTCAGCAGCTTCCCCTCTCACCTAAGCCCATCTTTGGAACACATTTTCTTCTATGCAGCACAAGACACTATGCAACTCTATCTCCTTCTTAAAATTTATCAAGTCCCAAATTTCTATCACTGGCTTCACATTTCTAGGAGGATGTTTTACTGACAGATTTACAACTAGAATGTCTAAGATTAAATTATTTTCAGAACCCCCTTATTCTCCTCTCTTGCTACCTCCTTCACCTCCTCAATGCCCAGGCACAAACCATCAAAAATCGGTATTAACTCTTCTTAAATCCTTTCTTTTCAAAGGTCGTATTGACTCTATCATTCAAATCTAGCTTGCTTGTTCTCCTGGCTGGCTGGCTGGATGCCAAAACACTACTTTAAACCTTTATTAGTGCTCACCAGGATTACTTCAATAACTTAAAAAAAAAAATGTTTTTCCAACTTAAATCTGCTTGCTTTTTCCTACTTCTGGGAATATATCCTAATTAAAAACCCTGAAACACCAATCAAAAAGAATATATTTACCCCTATGTTCACAGCAGTGTTATTTACAATAGCTAAGATTTGGAAACAGCCCAAGTGCTCATCAGTAGATGAATTGATAAAAAAAAAGCTGAGGTACATTTACACAATGGAATACTATACGGCTATAAAAAAGAAGGATCTCTTACCCTTTGAGACAGCATGGATGAACCTGGAGACTATTATGTAAATGAAATAAGCCAACCAGAGAAAGACAAATATCACATGATCTCACTTATATGTGGAATCTAATGAACAAAATGAATTGACCAACAAAGTAAGTCCTAAGGCATGGAACAGAGTGACATACAGTGGGAGGGGGCGGGGACGGACAGATGAGAAGAGATAAACCAAAGAACTTATATACTTATATGCATAGCCCATGGACACAGACAATAGTGGTGAAGGCATGTGGGGGGGGGGGCATAAAGGCATAAAGGAGGGAGAGAAATGAGGGACATTTGTAATACTGTCAACAATAAAAATATATGTATGTAAAAAACAACAAAAAAGAACCTGTTAGCTTTTATTTCTCACAGCACCCTGTAGTGACTGCATTCACTAGTTTACAGTTTTATATGTATTTCAGAGTTTTTATTTTTTATCTTTTGATTGTTTTAAAATTATGGTAAAATACTACATAGAATTTAACATCTCCCCCCTGCCCTTATCTTCAGATAGAGCAGGAGGGAGGGAAGGAGGAAGAGAGAGAGAGAAACATCAATGTGACAGAGTCACATCAATAGGTTGCCACCCACATGACCCCAACCGGAGCTGGGGACGAACCGCAACCGAAGTACGTGCCCTTGGCCAGAATTGAACCTGGAACTCTTTGATCTGCGGGCCAACACTCTAAACGCTGGGCCAAACGGGCCAGGGCAGAACTTATCATCTTTAACATTTTTAAGTATACAGTTCAATAGTATTACGTACATTCACACTGTTGTGCAACAATAACCACAGTTCATCTCCAGAATCCTTTGCATCTTGCCATACAGAAATTCTACACTTATTAAACAATTACTCCCTGTTTTCCCCTCCCTCTGGCCCCTGGCAGCCACCATTCTACTTTCTAGCTCTAGTAATTTAATTATTCTAGGTACCTCATAAAAGTAGACTCATACAGTATTTATCTTTTTGTGACTGATTTATTTCACTTATAATATCCACATGGTTCATCACTGTGGTAGTATGTGAAAGACTTCAAAATGTGTCTAATTCAATTCATACTTTCCCTCAATTCATCTGACATAATTCTGCCAGATTCACCTTCCTGATATACAATTCTGGAATCACCCTCAGGTGGAAAATAAGGTTTTCAAAGGTACCACCACTTCCAACAAAATAAAATTCAGATTCCTTTTGAAGGCCTTCCATTATCTGGCCTTAGCCAGGTAGACTTTCCCCACTATTTCCTTACTTAAGGTCCACTGAATGTAAATCATTACCTTTCCCTATTTTTTTTTTTTTTATCCTCACCCGAGGACATTTTTACACTTTTTGTTCAGGTAGAGTGGGAGGGAGAGAGAGGAACAGAGAGAGAAACATCGATGTGAAAGGAACACATCGAGTGGCTGCCACCCGCACAACCGACCAGGGCCGGGGACAAACTGCAACTGAGGTACGCGCCCTTAGCGGGAACCGAACCCGGGTCTCTCAGGACCGCAGGCCGATGCTCTAACCGCTGAACCAAACCGGCCAGGGCAGCTTTCCCTACTTTTGACCAAAACTATTCAATGTTTTTAGACTGTCCCCCACATTTCCCCAGGTTCAAATTTTATCTTACTTCACTAAATTCCATGTAAACCTTCCCAGATTCATCTAAAAAATAATCTTTTTGCACTCAAAACATTTATTGTATTCTGTTTTTTATGCCATTTATTGTCTTTTGTATTAATATATACGTGTCATATTTTCTCGTCCTTAAGTTCTGTGTATTAATCTTTGCATCCATCACTGCATGCAGTATGGTATTTTCCAGTGACAATGACACTGTTGTTGATGACAGTAGCTACTAAAGTTTAGTAAGTATTATGGACTGAACTGTGTCCCCCTCCCCCAAATTCATATATTTTAGCCCTAACTCTATATGTGACTGTATTTGGATGGGGCCTTTAAAGAAATAATGAAGGCTAAATGGGGTCAAAGGATGGGGCCTTAATTCTACAGGGTTGGTGTCTTTTTAAGAGAAGAGACACTAGGGGTACACGTGCACAGAGAAAGGGCCATTTGAGAACACAGCAAAAAGGTAGCCATCTGCTAGGCCAAGGAGAGAGGCTTCAGGAGAAACTAATTTGTTGACATCTTGATCTTGGAATTCCAGTGTCCAGAACTGTGAGTAAATAAATTTCAGTTGTTTAAACCACTGACTCTGACATTTTGTTATGGCAGCCCTAGCAAATTAATCCCTGAAAAAGGCACTATTCTAAGAGCTTTATTATTTCTCATTTGATCCTCTCAACAGCCCCATGACACAGAGAGGTTGTGTTTTGCTCAATTTTTTACATAGCACTGGAGCAGAAATTTGAAATATTAGCTGTCTGTGCCTATATAATACACTATAAAATTTATGATATAATGAAAATAGTGTACCATAACAGTTTCCTATTCATTGAAAACCAAATTCTTATAAATATACCTTTAAGCCTCTTTGCATGAGAAACAAACCTTGGTAACAGATATTTTACATATTAAAATTTATATACCTTCATCATGGCTGGTGTGCCTCAGATGGTTAGTCGTTGTTCCGTGCACCAAAAGGTTGCCGGTTCGATTCCCAGTCAGGATACATGACCAAGCTGCAGGCCTGATCCCCGGTAAGGGTCATGAAGGAGGCAGCCGATCAATGTTCCATTCTCACATCAATGTTACTCTGTCTTTCCCTCTCCCTTCCTCTCTCTCTAAAAATCAATAAAAGTTAGAAAAATAAACAAATAAATAAAACTACCAGGTGACTTTATTATGCAGGGAAGCTTAAAAAAAAAAATGTATGCCCTGGCTCTGTAGTTAGAGCATTGGCCCGCAGACCAAGGAATCGTGCATTCGATTCCAGCCAAGGGCATGTACCTTGGTTGCGGCCAGTCCCTGGCCCTGGTTGGGGTCGTGCAGGAGGCAACCATTCGATGTATCTCTCTCACAGTGATGTTTCTCTCTCTCTCTCTCTCCCTCCTTCTCACTCTATCTGAAGATAAATGGAAAAAAAATATCCACCGGTGAGGAGTAAAAATTATAAACAAATACACACACACACACACACACACACACACACATTCACCTTCTAAAAATTTTGGAAAACAGAGATCAATAATGTAAGAAGAAAATAAGGCACCTATAATCTAGAACTCAGAGATAAACACTGCTAACATTCTGATAGATTTTCTTCTGGTTGTTTTTCATTTTGTTAATAATTTAAGTTTCCAGAGGGCAATTCGATACTTCATCAATATCATGTATTTGGCATATTAAATTCTGGGACAAAACTGACTACTACGCTTCCATCCTCAAAAAACATAAGATATGGTACAGTAAAGAGTAAACTAGATTATTACACTCTTCTCAGAAATGGGAATGGCCCAAAAATCAGTCTGGCTCCAAAATATAAAAATACAAAGCCTTCTTCTGCCTCTTCTGTGTAAGATCACAGAAATTAAAAAAAATAATCTGGTCCTGGGTGCTGTGACTCAATTGGCTGGATGTCATCTTAGGCACAGAAAGGTTCACTGTTTGATTTCCAGTCAGGGCACACGCCTGGGGTTGCTGGCTCAATCCCTGGTAGGGGGCGTGCAGAAGGCAGCCAATTGATGTTTAACTCTTACACTGATGTTTCTCTCTCTCTCTCTCTCTATCTCTCTCTCTCTCGCCCTCTCCCTTCTTGTCTCTCTAAAAATCAATAAAAATATATTTTTTTAAAAAATCTGTATTTTTTGTTAGGTGATGCCTTTTTGAAGATAAGCATACCATAATTTAAAACCTTGTATACACTATTTTACAATGTTATTTCCTTTATTGTCATAACTCACAGACTGCTAAACCCCATCTTGTTAGATAAGAACTAAGGCCAAAATGTAAAGCAACTTGTTCAAGGTTATGAAGCTGCTGCTTAGTGACAAAACTGGGGCTTTAGAATTAGTTCTACTGACTACAGAGTCAGCATTTTTTTTCTGCACTATGTTTTTCAATATGAAGGGAAAATATATAATTCCTATCAAAAACATACATTACAGTTGCTAAAGAAATAGTCTGTTCCAGCCAGAAGAATGACACAATGGCTAGTCATTAGGAAGCAATAAAATTGGCCTTGGCTGGTGTGACTCAGTTTGAGCATCGTCCCTTGCACTAGTCAGGGCACATATCTAGGTTTCAGGTTCGATCCCCGGTTGCGGGGTGTGTGGGAGGCAACTGATCAAAGTATCAATGTTTCTCTTTCTCTCTCACCTTCTTCCTCTCTCTAGAAATCAATAATTTAAAAAAAGTACAATACTATAAAATTGGGAAGTAATATTTTTGACCCTTGTTATAAAATTAGGAGTAACTGAGTTAATGTTTTTGGCTCAATAGTTACTATACATTTTTTAACATTAAAAGTAATGTCTTAGCCTTAATACTATAAGTGGTTTAAAAAACTTTGTATTTTTAACTTTATTTTTATTTATTTTTTAATCCTCACCCAAGGACATGCTTGGGGGGATGAGGAGAGAAACATCAGTGTGAGAGAGAAACATTGATTGGTTGCCTTCCATACGCTCCCCTACTGGAGATCAAACCCACAACCCAGGCATGTGTCCTGACTGGGAATTGAACCAGCCACCTTTCAGTGCACAGGACAACACTCAACCAACTGAACCACTCCAGCCAGGCTTAACTTCATTTTTAGTCAAATACTATAGCCATAAAGGTGACCTCAGGAGATTTAATAAAGCCAACTAATCTGTACAGGTCTTATAAACTGAAAAACATCAATTTCCTATGCAGCCTCCCTTAGAATTACATCCTTAAAGTAGGATATACTTTTTGCACTTACATACAGAAGTAGCAGCAGAAATCAGTCTTGTATTTGAGACTACTCCAAATTCCTAGAGGAAAAAAAGTGGACAAGATCAGGTATGTAGAATCCCAATGAACCTAAGGTATCTTAGATCTCAAAACAGAGTATTTCCCGTGTTCCCCCATGTTTACATAGAGTGTTCATCTCCGACTTATTTGAGGAATGATGTACTTAAATCTCTAAATATATTACTTGTCCTAAAACTTGCTACAATTTAAGACAAGAGTTTAAATAATTCTAATTTAACATCACTGAGAGGCACCAAATTAGAAACCAAATCTTACAGTGACATGATAGTTTTCTGCACTCAAATTTGCTTCCAAGTAGATTTTTTTAGATTCTACACTTAATTGCAAGAATATAAAGTATGTTTCCTACTCAACTGAACCTGGGCTGACAGTTATTTCATGCCATTTAATAAAAACAAAAACAAAAAACAGTCGAATCTGAAAAAGATAAACTTTAATATCACCAAAAGAATTCAAAAGACCACACAAACAATTATTCTTTGGGAACAGGAAGAGAAGAATGATATAGAGTATAATACTTCCAATGTCAGTTCCCATTTCCTCTTTAAACTTAATATGCCACCATTGTAAAAATGACTAAAATTTATGGTGACCCACCCTGCATATATATTGCTTCATTTAATTTGATTAACCTAGTAAGATTACTAAAGCCTTCAGTTCAATTTAAAACAGAAAAATTAGGAAATTGGTTTCTTATTATACAAAAGAAACTAAACTAAATCTATTCAAATACCTTCAACGTACATCCTTATTCTTGGGGAAGGGGGGGCACTGAAGGCATGTATCTGTATATACATATCTATGTTCACATTTAAACCTCAAACTATAATAACTAAAACTAAAAAGTAAACACCTGAGACACCTTCTTAAGTATCATATCCACAGAATTCCCACACAACTGGACAAAACACAGAAAGATTTGGTCATAGTTAAAGATAAAAAAAAATAGCCCTGGCTGGTTTGGCTCAGCATTTAGAGCATCAGCCCTCGGACCAGAGAGTCCTGTGTTCGGTTTCCGCTAAGGGCACGTACCTCGGTTGCAGTTTGTCCTTGGCCCCAGTTGGGGTCATGTGGGTGGCAGCCAGTCGACGTATCTCTCTCACATGCATCTTTCTCTCTTCCCCACTCTCTCCCTCCCACTCTATCTGAAGATAAATGCAAAAAAATGTCCTCAGGTGAGGATAAAAAAAAAAAGATTAAAAAAAATAATAATGCTATAACCAAATAAGAAAAGACACATTGTTTTTTTTTCTAGGAATAATTTTTTATCCAAAATTCTTAAAGTGAAAACTTTCACTCAGTAAATTATAAAATAGGATTCTACTTAGAAAATCATATAACAAAAACATATTAAGAAACAAGACAAATTAAAATCCCTAAATTAATCTATAAGAGTACAAGTTTATAAAAATCTTGTATAGGTTTCCATACTGGTTGTGCTTCAGATACATAAAATTACATGGCAATATTTGAAAAAACCACCCCATAATACAGGTCATTTAGAAACATTTTGTTTTCCATTGAAGAACTTAACAACAACAAAGCTGGTTCTGCCTCCTTGAATTATCACTTATAATTAGAAAACCTTAACCCTTTAGAAATCTTGTCTTAATATAATTTCTAATAGAGTAAACTCATTATTTCAGGTAACAGGTATGAAAGATATCATGAATAATCCTAGAAAATAGCTAAAACAAAATTCAAAATGAGTATCAAAAGGAATGTAAACTTACTTGGTTAAAATTACATTCAACATTCAAGAATACAATTACTCTTCTAAAGACATAAGCTAAAAATACAAATATAACAGAAAAGTTTCATAATGCTAAAGACTGCATGGATTATTATGTAAAACAGTCCAGATCTGTTACTACTGTCTGAATTATGCCTAAGCTCTCTCAAAAATACTGAAAAGGTAAACTAGGTGGGCAGAGATTTGGTTTCAGCTGCAAGTTCCCATCTCTTTTCTCTCTCTTTCACCTACTTTCTCTACTCTCACTGCTGAAGTAATTCCTCGTTAGAAATCACACAGCTAGAGCTGTCTCTGATCCTTGTCTTCCCTTTTGCTTTCCCTATGATTTGGTTAGAAGCCAATCATCAGGAGGCAGGGAGGGATTACAATAGGATGTAGGAATGGAAGAGCAGGAGGGATATTGTCCAATTACAGTAAGAAGCTGTGGCACTTAAAGGATACTACTTAGTGCCAAACAATAAATGTCTGCAGGCAGTACAGCAAAGCAGTTAAGTGCAGGTGGCTTTCTGCCTACTAGCTCTATGATCTTAGGCAAGTTTTTAACCTCTCTGTGCCTCAGTTTCCTCATTTATATATCTATATATCTCTTTGTTATGATAACTAGTTGTACTGTAGTTGTAAAAGGACTTAAAATAGCACTTGGTCCATAGTAAGCGCTATATAAGTGTTTGTTAAATGAATATATAAAATAAAGATATGTGAACATTTCTTTAATTTTGTGCAAATTTCAGTAGTTTGCATAAATCAACATCTGATGTGTACATTTCTTTAATTTTGTGCAAATTTCAGTAGTTTGCATAAATCAACATCTGTTATTATTGTTACATAAGTAATGTGAAAACTGGGGCAGATTAGACAATACACAAGGACTATACTTGAAGAAAAACAAAATTATTTCATACCTCTACTTTGGATGCCAAAAACACACATGTAGGAGCCATTAACACAGGATCTATACTTTTCAGAGAATACCTAAAAAACAGTAAAACAAAGTTAAATGTAGAAAAAAAAACACTGGGGGAAAGAAGCAAGGCAACTCTATGGCAAACAGATGACTGATTCATCTATACTAAGGTTCATCAAAATTGCATGAGAGTTTCAAATAAGCATAACATTCCCAAAATAAAACAGTCCTACCTGGCATAGAATCTCTTGAAATAGACTGTAGCAGTGGCAATAACTTGTTGTCTTAATTTAAGATGTTCACCTAATGCTTGGATAACTAAAAAGAAAATTAAAGTTTTAAGTGTATCTTCTGGTATCCATGTGGTTAAACCATAACTATATTCATTTTTAACATAGAGAAAAACCTAGACATGCTCAAGTTCTTCTTGGATCACGGCGCTAATATTAGAACTTACAAATTTGTTTAAAAAAATATAGGTATGCATAAACAACCACCAAAGAAATTGCCCCACAGCAAATGCTATTCTTGTATTAAAGAGGCTAAATGATAGGTATTTCTCCTCCACCTTCTAAGAATTTCAATGCCTTTCATATAATCTTTAGAATACATATAAAAAAATATTAAATACCTATCAAACTTACTATAACTACTGATTTATAAAGTTTATTTAAAATCCACAATGAATCCTCAACACAACAGAGAGGTAGGTTTGCAGAAGGGTGAACTGAAAGTTAGAAAGATCATGTGACAAAGCTACCATGTAGCAGAACAAGGATCTTCTGCCTCTAAATCCCCTTCTCTGCAAAGTAAACTTGTGAGATAGGAATGCCCAATACAGAATGTCAATCCAAAATATCATTTATCCTCAAAGTAATCTGCTTTAGCCAATCTTAAATTGAGTTTAATAATACATGATAAAGGCTTAGAAAGATTAATGAATACTTTGAAACTGTCTCAAATATCTCTGACATTAAGATTAAAAAACAACTTTATTTAGATCACTTAAAGATAAATGAGTACGAATTGTAAAAAGATTACACGTATAAATAAAAATGTTCTATAGGACTAAAACAGCTCATCACATATTACTACATAAAAACATTTTAATTCAGAGGTAATCAACTGTACCATTTTAACCAATTAAGAAAAAAGTTTACCATTTGTAAAAAATATTTGTAATTTCCAATATTCTTCTTCTGAGAGAAACTTTAAGTCCTTCTGGCGTTCCTTCAACAGATCTTGTTTATCCAAAATCCATTGCAAACTAGAAGAAGCAAAGATGTTAAACATGCTACAGAAAATCAACTAACAAAGTCATAGAAACATTCTAAGATAGAACAAGTTATTAACATTCTGAGAAATACAAAGTACATATAACCCTGAAAGACAGTCTTTTCCACATTTCTTGAAAAGCCAACATTGAGAATTATTTCACTAAGACATGTAAATAAATTCCTGAAAAAAAATTCTACCTTTTCTCTGTTCCTTCTCAGTCTGTCACTAGCTTTACTGTATTGCACTGATTCTAAAATTCTGATATCAAGATGCATCTTATAATCAGTAATGCCTCAGCCTTTTTAAAAATAATTAATTAGCCTTGGCTGGTTTGGCTCAGAGGTTAGAGTGTCGGCCTGCGGTTCAGAGACCCGGGTTTGGGTCCCACTAAGGGCACGTGCCTCAGTTGCAGTTTGTCCCTGGCCCTGGTTGGGTCGTGTGGGAGGCAGCCACTTGTGTCCCTTTCACGTCAAAGTTTCTCTCTCCCCCCCTCCCACTCTATCTGAACAAAAAATGGAAAAATGTCCTCGGGTAAGAATAAAAAATATATATATACATTAATTAATTTATTTTTGTTACAGATATTTCTCCTTTTCCCCCCATAGATGCCTTAGCCTTTTAATTGGCCCCACGTTTATTCTTTCTTAGTGATACATAAAATAACGGAAAAAATTATTTGGCACCAATTGATGGTGTCTTGGATTTGAGGAAGTATATCTTTTCTCAGTTGTTCACGGGTAACTAGAGATTTAATTTCCCTACATCACAATTCCAATCATGTCAAAAGCTGCTTCAGAATTTATTCACTGATAGCCTCCTTCCTCCCGCCTAGTCTAGTCTATTTTAATCTGATATAAAATTGACATGACCCCACCCCCCAAAAAACTCTTCTGCAACCTGCTTTTGTCACACAGTATGTATTGGAAGTCTTTTTATGTTATTAAATTTATTATTCACCATTCTTTTAAATCACTGTACAACATTACAGATTGAATCATTATTTAGTTAGTTAATCCCTATTGATAGGCATGTGGGTTATTTTCCCCACACATTACAAGTAATACTTTAATGAACATCTTATAATTCATCCTCATATATTTGATTAGTAACATATAAAGTAATTTCCTAGAAGTAGAACTGACAGGTCAATTTTGCTGTTAACTTTGATATAAATTGTCAGTTTAAACTCCATAAAAGTCACACCAATTTCCATTTCTATTAACATGGATGTGTCTTAAAGTATTTAACCCTATGTATTATTATCAATCTTTTAAATACTTTACAAATTAAAGACAAATTAGTACCTTATTATTTTGGTGTTTTTTTTTAAGTGTACATCTGAGGTTAAACATTTTCCATGCCTTTATTAGCCAAATATAGTTCTTCTTTTGTACATTATAATTCTCATATGACCATTTTTTCTAATAGTCATCTTTTTTATATCTAAGAGATTCTTCTAATCTAAAATTTATTATAGAAAATTAATCATTGGTCTGTCAAATATGCTGCAAACATTTCCCAAGTTTAGCATGATCTCTCAATATTTAACTATCACTTATATATTGAGATCTACCCTTATTTTACTTTGACTTTATGCTTGTTGCGCATAAGGGCTTCCCTGACACAAAAATTATAATATATATATTACTCATATTTTCTAAGGCCCTTAAGGCTTTCTTCTTTCAGTTGTGATCCATCCAGAATTTATTTTGGTATAGGGATCAAGCTAAATGTTTGTCAAATGGTTATCCAAATGTCACTAAAGTATTTCCTAATATATAATTTTACTAATGTATTTGGATCTTCTTTATAATTTCCTATTTTTAATTTTGTACTATGCCATACTATTTTAAAACATATAATATTAAATAATTATAATCAAGTATGGAAAATGCCCCCTCCTTGTTACCATTCTTCAGAAAACTTCTGGTTATTCTATTACAATTATTCTTCTAAGACCTAAATATCAAGTCCCAAAAAAAGAAATCCATCCAAAATTTTGTTTGGAGTTCAATTAAATTTAAAGATCTATATAGGAAGAAATGATAGATTTACAATGTTAGAATTCAAACACTATTTAATAGAATCGTTATGTTCTATAAAATTTAAAATATTTCTTCCTATAAGTCCTATATATTTCTTGAGTTTATTCTTGAGAATTTATATTTTCTGTTGCTATTGTAAATTATATTTTTCTAACATTGATTTAATAGAAAGCTTCCTATTTTTATATCTTGTAACTGGTGATGTTCTTAAACCTTTACTATTTCTAATAATTTTTTCAATTAACTGAATTTTCTAATTTTATCTCCAGATACTGATAATTTATCATTCTTTTTACATCTCGTTCTATCAACTGCACTGAGTAGTATATTCAGAACAATGTTAAACAGGTAATTTTTCTAATGTTTCACCATTAACTCTTTCTTGTTGATGCTTTGATATGTTATGTTAAGAACACATCCTATTTGTTTTAGTAAGAGTTTTAACCAATAGATGTTGAACTTCATTAGATGTCTTTTTGATGCTTTCATTGTTAACACATTTCCTAATATTAACTATATTTCTATAATAAAATCGGTCATTTTTTTATACTTTTAATGTAATGCTGGACTCCATCTGGTAGTACTTTATGATGGTTGCATCAATATTCAAAAGTGAGACTGGGAAGATTCCAAAATAGCGGCGGAGTGAATGGAAGCTACACAGAACGTCTCCCAGGACCAAACTGGAATTACAACTAAAACACAGATAAAGCGACGGGAAAAAGCAACAGAAAAGCAGCTTGAGAGGACCATATAACCAGGGGAACTGACTCGATCCTGGTAGGATTGCGAAGGCGCAAGACGGGGGACTGGGAGCCCACAGTTGGCAGCTCAGCAGCAGACTCAGCTGTGAACAGTGCCCTTGGGTTAAACTCGCAAGCGGCTCCACAGCGCAGAGCCCGGACAGAGGCTAAAACAGCCACAGCCACTCACCTTGGGCTCCGGCAGAGGGAGGGCAGACTGGACTGGAGCTGTGTGGGGACACTCAGGATTTGGAGGGCGCTCAGAGCTTTTGCTGAGTGCAGCCACGCAGGACGGTGGCCATATTGCTCCTTCCAGGGCTCTGGGGAGAGGCAGTAGCCCCTCCCTGGGAGATCCAACCCCACCCTGTGGGCCATTGAAATGCTTTTTGAAGCTCAAACAACCAGCATCTGCCCCACCCTCGGGAAATCCCCTTATGCTGAGCACCAGAGGGAGTCTTTCAATCAACTAACAACTCAAAACTCTTCAAGTAACCTGGACTGCTAGCCTCCAGGCAAAAAGCTAGAGGATAACAGTACTATCCCTGGACTAGCAACTCTAACCAGGAAAGTAAGACTTGACAGTGATGTTTAACGTGGGTCCTCCCTCGCTCATCTAAACCCAGGAGAGGGAGCCACAAACAGCAGAACACCAACACCCACAGGGAAAACTTGTCAGGCTCCAAAGCCCACTGGGATAGCCAAAATGGTGAAACACAGAAACAAAAGCCAAATGAAAGAACAAGAGACCTCCAACAAAGATGATATCAATGTGGAGCAGTTAGGCAAGGTAACAGAGCTAGAATTCAGAGCCATGATCATGACGAAGCTCAACAGCATGAGTAAGGACATAGAGATGCTGAAAACAAACGAATTGGAAATTAAAAACCACCAAAAAGAGATAAAAAATGACATATCAGAAATGAAAAACACATTGAAAGGTCTAAAAAGCAGAGTAGAGGAAGCTGAGGACCAGATCAGTGAATTAGAAGACAGGGTAGAAAAAAATAAACCAGCCAGAAAACCAAACGGAAAAAACAAAAAACAGAAAGACACCTTAAGAGAACTGTGGGACAACTGGAAACATAATATTCGCATCATAGGAGTCCCTGAAGAAGAAAATGAGCAAGGGCTAGAGAATATACTCAGAGAAATAGTGACAGAAAACTTCCCTAATTTGGTGAAGGAAGAAGGCATTCAAGTTCAGGGAAGCACAGAGAGCCCCAAGAAAGAAGAACCCAAACAGGCCCACACCAAGACACATAGTAATTAAAATGCCAAAAATGAAAGACAAAGAGAGACTCCTAAAAGCAGCAAGAGATAAGCAACAGGTTACCTACAAAGAAAACCCCATAAGGCTCTCAGCTGACTTCTCAACAGAAACACTACAGGACAGAAGGGAATGGCATGAAGTAATCAAGGTCATGAAAAACAAGGATCTGAATCCAAGACTAATCTACGCAGCAAAGCTGTCATTCAAAATAGAAGGTCAAATAAAGAGCTTCCCAGAAAAAAAAAAAAAAAAAGACTAAGGGAATACATTAGCACCAAACCAGCACTGCAAGAAATGTTAAAAGGGACTGCTGTAATTAGTAGAAGAAATAGGAAGAAAAATATAACCACATTAAACAAAAATGGCAATAAACAAGTACATATCAATAATCACCTTAAATGTAAATGGACTGAATGCTCTGATAAAAGACAGAGAGTAGCTGATTGGATAAGAAAGCATGACTCATCTATATGTTGTTTACATGAGACCCACCTCACAACAAAAGACTCACATAGGTGGAAACTGAAGGAATGGAAAAAAATCTTCCAAGCAAATGGAAAGCAAAAAAAACCTGGGTAGCAATACTCATATCTGATAAAATAGATTTCAAAATGAAGACCATAACTAGAGAAAAAGAAGGCCACTACATAATATTGAAAAAATCTATCCAACAGGAAGATATAACCTTGATAAACATATATGCACCCAATATAGGAGCACCAAAATATATTAAAAATCTTCTGGAAGACTTCAAAGGAGAAACTGACAGCAATACAATCATAGCAGGGGACTTCAAAACCTCGTTGACACCACTGCATAGATCCTCTAGACAAAAAACTAGCAAGGAAACAGAGAGTCTAAATGAAGCACTAGACCAAATGGATTTAATAGATATCTACACAGAATTACACCCCAAAACTACAGAATTCAC